GAGAGGCAGCAGCTCTACCAGTTGCGCCACCGTGCTGCCCCTGGATATGAAACCTTTTTGTATATATTTTTTAAGGTTTTAAAAATGTATGTACTGTCCCCAGGGCTTAATTTGTAAACCGAATGATGCCGGAACACAAATAATGGGTGATCCGTTGTCCAGCTAAGGACAAAACAGCCATCCATCCATTTATTTTAGAAAATAAATTGGACTTCTTTTCAACATTTTGATCGCTGTTATTTTGACAAGTTAGTGCCGTTGTTTTGAAACGTGATGTAATGTGAATAATACACATCAAACAGTTCACTCGTTTTTTTGGGGTTTTTTTACTGTACACTTTTTTATTTATTATCTCTGAAATGTATGAAGGAGTTCCAACACATCAGCGGTTGTGCGCGCTCTACAGAGCTGTCTGGAGACGCTCCTGTGCGTAAAACATGCACTGTCTGCAGGGTGCACCAGCTGAAGGTGGATGAAGATGCTCATCCCCACGGGACATGCAGTCAGCGTCTCTGCTGGGCAGGAGCGTGTGCGTGAGCTGGTGCACCTGCTGCAGCAGTAACATCCACTCCACAAACTGGGCAATGTCTCCTCTCGTTGTATTTTTAATAAATAATTGAAATAAAAATGCGGGATGACTTTTATGGGCAGAGATTTGAGTTGCCAGATCTGAGCAAACAGTTGCCAGAACGTACGCAGTCAAAATGAGAAAGTTCCTGGATCTTATACCATTGTATACCTTATATATTGTATATAAAGTATATATTGTATATAAAGTATATATTGTATATAAAGTATATATTGTATATAAGGTATATATTGTATACCTGGATTATTGATCATGGACTTTGTTGGTTCCTGGATCTTTTTCCAGCAGGATCCAGCTCAAATTAACCTCTGACAGTGGCCTACATGGCCAAATTCTACGGCGGCCGAGTGGACACATAATGTTATATGCAGTAGGCTCTGGAGTAGGAGCTGAATAAAAAAAATGTAAACGCATTTTACGCATTTGGATTTATGGGCCTTTAGAATCGATTCAGAATCACCAGAAATAAGAATCTAGATTCTTTAATAAATCAATTTTTTTGCACCCTTACTTAAAAGTATAGTTTCCTCAAATGATCAGGGTGGCTGAAGATTAATTTATGGGGCAAGGCCACCATTGACCACCCACTGGCTCAGTCATTGTGCCTGGTCCCTCCGCCCTCCAGGATCCGTCACTGCTCTGCTTCAGACAATAATAATTAAAACCTCCCTCTGTTCTTCTCCACAGTGTAACTCCCACTCACTTGAATATGTTGCACCAAAAACATTTAGGTTTACTTCATTCTCTGTTCAGTTCCAGTCCAGAAAAACACTCGACCCTAAACTACAAACATTCACTATTCAACCCCTCAGAGACGGGGACATCGGCGTATCGCTTGT